GAACTCAAGCGATCCTCCTGCCTCAGCCTCCCAAGTAGCTGGGACTACAGGCAGACGCCACCATGCCTGGCTCATTTTTCCTATATATATATTTTTAGTTGTGCAGATAATTTCTTTCTATTTTTTTTAGTAGAGACGGGGTCTTGCTCTTGCTCAGGCTGGTCTCAAACTCCTGACCTTGAGCGATCCTCCCGCCTCGGCCTCCCGGAGAGCTAGGATGACAGAGGTGTAATCCCACCAGTCCTACTGTGACTTGGGTCTTGTGCTCATGGGTTTTCCCTCTGAGTTCTCAGGCCTGCTTTGTGTCTCCAAACAGGGCCTTCGGGGGAAGAACTCAACTCGAATGTGGTCATGGCAAGTCCACGGTGGAGATTTGGGGAAATCGGACTATTTAGGAAGCTAGTGTTGGTGCCTTCTATGAGGTGGGTGGAGGAGCATGCATTTGTGTGTGTGGGCGTGTGTGCGTGTGTGTGTTTTGTGTGACGTGTGTGCTGTCTTGTGGGACGTGCGTGTGTGCAGTCTTACCCAGGGCTCCTGGCCTGCACGTGTTCACCCAGCCTTCCAGAACTATGTTCTTGGCAAGCAACAGAATGTTCGATGGAGCCGAATAAAATTCTAAGTGACATTTTCATCACATGCCATTTATGGCAACTTTGTGGACAAGAAGCACAGCAGTGTTTTGTAGTTGTACTAACTGGGGTTTACTGGCCACCTGTTAGATGGCAGGGAACATAATAGCTGCCTTACATATATATTCTCACGTAATCCTCTGAGAATCCCGTGAAATTAGAACTATTAGTTTACAGATGGAGAAACAAACTTAGAGGGGTTAGTACAACCATTTGAATTGTTTCAAAAAATGTTTTTGTGAGTGATCTTTGACATTATAACTGAATGTTTATTAAGTTGTAAGAGTTTTCCTTCAATATCATTTATTTGATGAATATTTATTGAGCATCTATTATGTGCATAGTCCCTACTAGGTGTTATAGGAAAGATTGAAAAATATCACAAACAGCTCTTCCCCCTAATGAGCAGCTAATATGGTTTAGAGGTACGATAATCAAAAGATATTTGTCTGAGCTGTTTTCTCTGTGTTGCTCTTTTACAGCAATTATCAAATTGTGTTTGGACTTATACTAACAGTTGTGCAAGTCTCTGTGGCTCCTTAGCCCCTTAGGGTAAGGAAGTTCGTTTTACTCACCTTTGTATTCCTAGCATTTAGTAAGTGCTAAACCAATGCTGATTGAATCAATGAACTGATAAACTGGAATTTGGAGAGTGTGAATAAACACTCTAATCCAGGGATCCTCAAACTATTTAAACAGGGGGCCAGTTCACTGTCCCTCAGACCGTTGGAGAGTGTGCACTGTGGGCCCGGGACGAGTCGGCTGCTAAGCAGGACAGGCAGCAGCAAAAGCACCCCTCGGGCTGGATGAACATCCTGGGCAGGCCACATGTGGCCCACAGGCCATAGTTTGAGGGCGCCTGCTCTAATCCTTCCCTTATTCGAATGCTGGAGGGCTTAGTGCAACTTGCAAATGAATCTAAACCCAGAACAGAAAATGGCTATTATTCGGCGAAGAAAATTTTTCAAAATAATGAGTATATTCTGTATGCAACCATTCGAGGTATTTCTTAACCAACACCCTCTCATGTCCCGTGAGCTGTTAATAAGTATTTTTTTAAAAAGAAAAAGGAATTTCCACAGTTCAGTACAGTTGGGAAATGCAGGGTTAGATAGGATTATGGGATTCCTTTACTGCAGGAATTCTCAGAGCCTTTAATAGACTGGTATGCACTATGTACAAACCAGAAGATGCAGGGACTTTGAAGGGTATACTGGACATGGTGAGTGATATTTTCCAAACTTATTTGAGAGTGGACACTTTGGGACAGGAGTGGAGGGAGTGAAGAACAGATGGGTAGGGCCAGGACTAGGATAAGGTCAGGTACCTAGGGCACCAGTGTTAAGAAAGTGCGCACTTGGTTGGGCGCGGTGGCTCACGCCTGTAACCTAACACTCTAGGAGGCTGAGGCGGGTGGATTGCTCAAGGTCAGGAGTTCGAGACCAGCCTGAGCAAGAGCGAGACCCCGTCTCTACTATAAATAGAAAGAAATTAATTGGCCAACTAAAAACATATAGAAAATATTAGCCGGGCATGGTGGCGGATGCCTGCAGTCCCAGCTACTCTGGAGGCTGAGGCAGGAGGATCGCTTGAGCCCAGGAGTTTGAGGTTGCTGTGAGCTAGGCTGACGCCACGGCACTCTTGCCCGGGCAACAGAGTGAGACTCTGTCTCAAAAAAAAAAACAAAGACCCACTTGCAGGAAAGCACTCCAACAACCCGGAGACTGAGGCCGAGGGCCTGCTGAAATGCTGTACCCTTGCAAACGAATCTTGCCTCATGCCAGGCCCAGACCAGAAAAGACACCTAACACCACCCCAAAACAAATATTCCATAAACCCAACGTGACACACGTTCTGTGGCCACCCCTCATTTGCAGTATTTGATTGGGGGTCAACACTTTGAAGACAACAACACACATTTCTGAATCCTCTTTCTCCCGTTTTGTAGTGACTCTGGCTCAAAGTTAGAGCTGCGGAGTCCTTTCCTGCCCCTGCCCCGGGGCCAGAGCCTCCCTTGGAGGCCTGGCCACAAGCAGAGGACCCCCCCAGCTGGCGTTCTGAGCAGGGCCAGGCTGGCCTTTCCAACTGGCTCAGGGAAAGAAGTCCAACTGGATCTCTTTTGTTCCACACACCAGAAGTTGCTAGTTGCTCAATTTCCTTCATCTTTTTTTTTTTTTTTCTGAGACAGAGTCTCACTCTGTTGCCCGGGCTAGAATGCCATGGCATCAGCCTCGCTCTCAGCAACCTCCAACTCCTGGGCTCAAGCCATCCTCCTGCCTCAGCCTCCTGAGTAGCTGGGACTACAGGCATGTGCCACCATGCCCGGCTAATTTTTTCTATACAAATTTTAGTTGGCCAATTAATTTCTTTCTGTTTTTTAGTAGAAATGTGGTCTCCCTCTTGCTCAGGCTGGTCTCGAACTCCTGAGCTCAAGCAATTCTCCCACCTGGCCTCCCAGAGTGCTAGGATTACAGGCGTGACCCAGCGCGCCCAGCCATTTTCCTTCATTCTTGAAAACAATAGAGACTAAGTGCAAGTCAATAAAGGAATCCCTAATGACCAGGACAATGCATAGCAGAAGAAAAGAAAGAAAAGAAAGAAAAGAAAAGAAAAGAAAAGGAAAGAGAGAAAGAAAAGAAAAGAAAGAAGAAAAGAAAGAAAAGAAAAGAAAAGAAAGGAGAGAGAGAGAGAGAGAGGAGAGAGAGGAGAAGAAAGAAAAGAAAGAAAGAAAGAAAGAAAGAAAGAAAAGCCAGGGAAATAACCTCAGCATTAACAGATGGGAATCAGAGGCAGGCCTCTGACCTCTCCTGCCTCTTTTTTACCCTTTTTTCTTTTGTTCCTTTGCATCATGGCAAGAACTGACTTCTCCTTAGAGTCTCTTCTCTGAGCCGGATGTTCTGCTTAGATCTCTGGATTTTTCCATGTGTGCATTCTCCTCATTAATGTCCCTCCCAACAGAAAGCCCTGTTTGATCTCAGAGCTAATGACTAAAGCTGGGTGGGGCAAAAGGCCTGAGAAAAAAGTGTGTTTGTTCAAGAAAGCGTGTGCATTCTGCAAACTCACCCATTTTTTTTTCCCTCGCCCATTTTCTTTTTTCCGGTTGCTTTTAAATCCAAGAAAACAATCATCTTGAAGGGTTTATAATGGCGTATGCTCAGGGGCACTTACTTACTCATGAGTTTAGTGTCTCTAACTATTTGCCACTCTCCCCCCACTCCCCTTTTAAGTGAAAATACTCCAGGGTAAACGCAATCTAAATAAACATAGTAAAATATATGGCGTTTAAACACTGCATTGGCATGATAACCATGCCCACTCAGATGGCATGCGGAAATATTAGATAACAAAGCTTCAATTCTTTGGTCATTCATCTAATTAGACTCTATCACAAGCAACTGATACTAAAACACTGTAGTTCTACAGTATAGGGCTGTCCACAAAAGAATTAAAAAGCTGAAAGGGTGTATTTCCAGAATGAAAATGGTTCCCCACATTCACTAAATGTCCATATATTCCCTAAGCAATTAGTTTGTTTCCTGAGTACTGGCATCAGAAATTTAATACCCTAGGTCTAGAAAGCTGAAAGAACCTTGCCTGACTTGGTGTAAATGGAGACTTGAGCTTATGCTGTCCCATCAGATCTCTTTTTTTTAAGACAGTCTCACTCTGTTGCCCGGGCTAGAATGCTGTGGTGTCAGCCCAGCTCACGGCAACCTCCAACTCCTGGGCTCAAGCGATCCTCCTGCCTCAGCCTCCCAAGTAGCTGGGACTACAGGCATGCGCCACCATGCCCGCTAATTTTTTCTATATATTTTTAGTTGGCCAATTAATTTCTTTCTATTTTTAGTGCAGACGGGGTCTTGTTCTTGCTTAGGCTGGTCTCAAACTCATGACCTTGAGCGATCCTCCTACACCAGCCTTCCAGAGTGCTTGTCCCATGAAATTCTCAATCTGTCTTGCCCCCCATCAATCTGCAAACATTCCTTCTCTTTTTGGTATTGCATCTCATCAGATCAGACCCTTTTACGTAACAATACCTATTTTCCCTTCATGACAAAAACATTTCAACTAGCACTTCAGGGGTAATAGGTGCAATAATCTCTATAATCAAGTGGTCCAATCTGTGCGGATCATGCAATGTACAGCGTCCTTCAAAGCCACTAAACCTGACCCTCCAAGCTGCAGACACTCGAGGTCCCAAGCTGCCGATTTGACTTGCTGCTCCTGCGTTTTATCTTTGCATGTTTTTCAGGAATGCTTTCACTGCAACTCAGAGAAGCCGAGAAGACGACTCAGAACAACTTTGGGGGGAAGAAGAACCCTAGATTCTGCTCCTAAAGACTCAGTGATGGGGAAAAGCGCTGAACTTACCAAAAGCTCCATGAAGCAAATGTTTTCTACCTTTCCAGGATGCGGTTGGCTGGACATGAAGGTTGTAGACAAAGGCCTCCTCGAGTTCTTCTGCCAGGACAAAAGCTCTTAGAAGAAGAGGGGGGAAATGCCCGTTGGGTTTGCGTTGCTTTGGCTGTAGAAAGAAACAAACGTGGGGAGTTTTCCATCACCACATGGGTTACCACCCACGTTGGCTGCCTCGGTTCAAGGAGTCACACTGCATCTTAACCCTGGAGGATCAGGTCTGTAGTCCAAGACGGTCAGGTTTTAATTGGTCACACCGTTGTGCATGGCTGGCCATACCCAGCTGATGTCAATGTGGGGGTCAGATGGTCCAAGCATTCGTTACGAATACAATAATGAAAACCTGGCCCAGGTAACGAAGTGGCTTAACTTCTCCCATGCTGTGATGGTATTTGCTCCCTCTCCAGTCTCTTAAATCACATAGGTGGTTGGGTGTCTTGGTTTCAAAGGGTATTCCTACAGGCAAAGTGAACTGAAGAAGTGGAATAATCAACACACATTCTGCAGTACGAAGGCAATCAGAGTGAACACACAACACGTGCTCCTGTACCAAAAATCAGGTATTACCGACTATTAAACCTGTAGATAATCCAGCCCCTGGCTACCACGACAGTCTCATTGGTGTCACTCCCTCTACAGTCACCACCCTCAGGTCACCCTGCTCTTGTATCTGGTCCAAGAACATGCCAAGCCCCTTCCCACCTCGAGGCCTTAGCCCTTTCTGTCCCTCCTATCTGGAATGACCTTCTCCTGGCTTTAACGCCTGGCTCCTTCTCATTCCTTGGGTCTTGGCCTAAATATTCCATTATCAGAAGGGCCGTGTGGGCTCCTCACCTCTCACCCCATTATTTTCTATCTCAGTACCTGATCGTTTCCTTCACAGCAGGTCATGTTCAGAAATTGATTGATTTGGGCCGGGCGTGGTGGCTCACGCCTGTAATCCTAGCATTCTGGAAGGCCGAGGTGGGAGGATGGCTTGAGCTCAGGAGTTCCAGATCAGCCTGAGCAAGAGCAACACACCCCCCCCCCTCTGCTAAAAATAGAAAAATTAGCTGGGTAGTGCACGTGGTAGTGCACGCACCTGTAGTCCCAGCTACCCAGCTACTCTGGAAGCTGAGGCAGGAGGATAGCTTGAGCCCAGGAGTTTGAGGCTGCAGTGAGCCTCGAAGATGACCTGCACTGCACTCTACCCAGGGTGATGACAACAGAATGAGACCATTTCAAAAAAAAAAAGGAAAATTGAATTCCCTATCCCCCTTCATTTTAAAAATAAAAGAAATTAATTGATTTTGTTTATTTGTTTACTCATGTTATTGTCTGTCTCTCCCATGTCTGGGAGGTTAGAGATCATATTTGCCTTTCCAGTACCAAACACAATGCGGAGCACAGAAGGACATTTTATAGGTTAAATTGTGTCCCCCACAAATGCTAGTGTTGAAGCCCTCTGCCACAGTGTGATGGTGTTTGGAGATGGGATATTTGAGAGGTGATTAGGTTTATATGAAGTCATGAAAATGAGGCTCTCAGGATGGGATGAGTATAAGAAGAAGAGGAGGCCAGGTGAGGTGGTTCACACCTGCAATCCTAGCACTCTGGGAGGCCGAGGTGGGAGGATTGCTTAAGGTCAGGAGTTCGAGACCAGCCTGAGCAAGAGCGAGACTCTAATTGTCACAAGACAGCTGCCACAGTGCCAGGCATCACATCTAAATCTAATGCTCAACATGGCTCTTGAGGACCTCTGAGGCCTTGTTTGGTATGGCGATGAACTGCCCCAGCCCCAGCTCCTAGAACCGCAGATGCCTACTTCAAGAAAAACTTAAGGCCAGGCGTGGTGGCTCACACCTGTAATTCTAGCACTCTGGGAGGCTGAGGCAGGAGGAACACTCAAGGTCAGGAGTTCAAAATCAGCCTGAGCAAGAGCGAGACCGTTTCTACTATAAATAGAAAGAAATTAGCCAGACAACTAAAAATATATATAGAAAAAATTAGCCGGGCATGGTGGCGCATGCCTGTAGTCTCAGCTACTTGGGAGGCTGAGGCAGGAGGATTGCTTAAGCCCAGCAGTGTGAGATTGCTGTGAGTGAGGCTGACACCACTGGACTCACTCTAGCCCGGGCAACAGAGCGAGACTCTGTCGAAAGAAGAAAAGGAAGAAAGGAAAGAAAAGAAAGGGGAGAGAGGGAGGGAGGGAGAGAGGGAGGGAGCGAGGGAGGAAGGAAGGAAGGAAGGAAGGAAGGAAGGAAGGAAGGAAGGAAGGAAGGAAGGAAGGAAGGAAGGAAGGAAGGATCTTAAGCCTCGTCCAAAGAAGCCAGTTTGATGAACTCTAGGCCTACCTTTCACTAGATTTCCTCAACACTAAAATATCACTTTTCTCTGCACTGTGTGTGACCGTGAGCCACATTCTAGCTGCTTCTTGGGCGTTCTGGATTATTGGTCTTATTTAGTCAATGCAGTTAGAATCTTTTCTCTTGTTTCCTTCATACGGTAAATTCACCTGAGCACCGGTGACTAAGTTCCATCGCTGCGACCCACCTAAAAACGACGGCTTGCACGCGGCAGGGCCCCGAGTCACGCATAGACCACCAGCATCAGCCAACTGCTGTTGGAAGCGCAGACTGCCTGAAGCCAACCCCAGGCCCACTAAGAGAGAATGTGAATTCTAACAAGATGCCCTGGTGACTTGTGTGTAGAGAAAGTTGTGAGAATCGCTGCTGTACGAGGCAGATGAGGGAGTGGGGCATTATCCAGAGAAGAAAATAACACACTTCTCACTATCCATTCTACCCAACCTCTGAAAATAAATGTCACCTGCTGGGTGCCCAGAGCGTCTCTTCTTCGCCTTAGTCTTTATGCAAGTGTGTGTGTGATTAGCACCTCAGCACCCGTTTGATAGACTCAGATGCGAACCTTGACCATCCTGTAATTTTTTTTTGGCTTCTTGACGGACTTTACAGTGGGAAGCGGAGGGATATCTACGTGCACGTGAGTTCCGGCGACTTTCCCCTGGGCGGAAGAGTAAGGAAGTAGTCCCGTCTGTAGTCTGCGAACGGGCTTTAGCACGACCTGGTATGTGTACTTTTTAAATTATTATTTTTTGGATCCCTGCACTGGCTTCAGCTTTTAAATATTCCAATCCTACATGATTGGCTCCTTCCTTCTGTTTCCTACATACCTTTTCATCTCCAGGAATAGGCAGTTAGCTGGAGGATTTGCACTTCTAGGTCAAATGTATAGTTTACTGGGGGGTTGTACTTCCGGGTCAGATGTACAATTTAATGGGGGGATTTGTACTTCCGGGTCAGAGGTACAGTTAATGGGGGGATTTGAACTTTCGGGTCAGATGTGTCGTTTACTGGCGGATTTGTACTTCCAGGTCAGATGCGTAGTTTACCGGGGCATTTGTACTTGTGGGTCAGACATATAGTTTACAGGGGGGGCTTGTACTTCCGGGTCAGAGGCATAGGTTACAAGACACTTGTTCTCACCCTCACAACCAAAATCAGACAGCTAAGCTCAGCATAATTTATGTTCCAAACCCATGAGAGAACTGAGGGCACGGAGGAACTTACGTGAACCGAACTCAAGAAAGTGACAGGCTTTATCTGTGTAGGAGAGGAGACAGCCATGGTCATTTTCTCCTCTGGCGAAGGAAGGAGGGCTTGTAAGCAGCCGGGGTGGGGGAACTGGGCTGAAATCTTAGCAGGCGCGGAGCGGCTGCCCGTGGGCAGAGCAGCGCTGCCCACGCCGCGAGCCTGCACCTGCCAGCCTCCGCCTTCCCAGGAGGCCTTGCACCGTGCTGGAAATAGTTCGCCCAGGTTGCGGGTGGGAAAGAAAGGCTCGGGGAAACTCCCTGAGGCATTTCGGGGCTTCACGGAGTCCAACAAGTTGCTAAGGCCAGGGAGGAGCAGAAGGGCTGAAAGCAGGGGACAAATGGCAAAGACAGATCAGGAAGCTATTGGCATTTCTAAATACACCACATGGATTTATAATTTGATGTCTTGAATGTAAGGCTCTAATAAACTAGCAAAATAAGTATTAAAAAAATAAGCTATTGGCTGGGCTGCAAAGCAGAATGAGACCTCCCACATTTATGAAACTTGTAAACTCTCTCTCTCTTTTTTTTTTAATTGAGACAGAGTCTCACTTTGTTGCCCTGGGTAGAGTGAGTGCCGTGGCCTCAGCCCAGCTCACAGCAACCTCAAACTCCTGGGCTCAAGGGATCCTCCTGCCCCAGCCTCCTGAGTAGCTGGGACTACAGGCATGCACCACCATGCCTGGCTCATTTTTTCTATACATATTAGTTGGCCAATTAATTTCTATTTTCGGTAGAGACAGGGTCTCGCTCTTGCTCAGGCTGGTCTCAAACTCCAGACCTTGAGCGATCCTCCCACCTCAGCCTCCCAGAGTGCTAGGATTACAGGCGTGAGCCACCACGCCTGACCAGTGTGAACTCACTTTTGAAACACAGATCTCAAGAATCTCACCAGTGCTCAGATACCCAGCTCTGCTAAGGCAAAGTTCTAATCCCACTCTTAAAATATGCAAAAGGGCTAAGTGTTCGCTGGGCTTGGTGGCATGTGCCCATAGTCCAAGCTACTTAGGAGGCTGAGGCAGGAGGATTGCCTGGATCTGGGAGATCGAGGTTGCAGAGAGCTACTGCATTCCAGCCTGGGCAACAGAGTGAGACCCTGCCTCACACACACACACACACATCCATACAAAAACGAGAAAGCAGTAGTGAACTTAATCAAAGTAAAAGTACAACAGTGTCCAGACCCAGATCAATTACAGCTCAGATTGACTCAGCCCCTATTATTTGCTTTTGTATTTATTCTACTTTTCTTTCCTACAAAATATTCAGTATACAGTTTTAAAACATCCAGGACCTGTGGAAATGCAAGAAAATGTGTCTCTTGGTTAAGATAGAAAAGAATCAGTAGAATGAGATCCAGAGCTAGCTTCAAAGTTGATATTATCAGACTGAGTTATTAAAATAAAAAATATCTCTAATATAAAAAACATTAAAGGATCTTATGGAAAGGAGGGTGATATTCATAAAGAGAGTGGAAATTTCAATGAAGTGGTGGGAGCTAGAAAAAAAGGACCATATGGAAATGCTATAAATGAAAAACACAATATCAAAAATAAATTCATTAGTAGCAGCTTAGTCGCAGACTCAAAAACAGAGGAAACTGAACATCTGACAGTATTGGGGCTAATTTCAAACAACTCAACATATATATAAATGGGATCTCACAAATAAGAGGGACCACATGGCAAGAGAAGTCATTAAAACTTTATTGGCCAAGACTTACCAAAACTGATGAAAGACATCAACTCATAGAATCAAGAAACTCAACACACCCACAAAGCAGAATAAATACAGAGAAAACAGCACCTAAACAAACCACAGCCAAACTTCTGAAAAGCAGTGGTAAGTGGTAAATGTGAAAAAGAAATCAAAGGGGGAAAAGATATAAATATAAGGAAATAATGATACAAATAACACATGACTTTTCACTAAAATTAATGGCAGCCAGAAGACAATAGAACATCTTTACAAGGCTGAAAGAAAAACAATGCCAAACTAGAATTCCATACCCAGTGAAAAGACACTTCAAATATGAAGGTGAAATAAAGTTATTTTGAGATAAATAAAAGTTGGGAGAATTCATTTCCAGCAGACCCACACTACAAGAAAAGCTAACATAAGTTTTTCAGACCGAACAGAAACAATACCAAAAGGAAACCCAGATCTGTAGGAAGAAGTTAAGAGCTCTATAGAGAATTTTTTAAAAAAGGGGCAGGGGGTAACTGTTAAAGATCTTTTACAAGGTAAGATATCCACATTTCTACCTTTATCTATGTGTGTATGTGTCTGTGTGTATGATATTCTAAAAGATCAGGTTTATAACATGTAAAAGTAAAAAATAAAATGTCAGATAACAAGAACATAAAGGGGCGGGGGGAAATAGAATTTATATTTTATATTATCATTTATGTTTATTATACTATAATAAATTAATATAATATTACTATAATATTAATATTATTGTTAATAATACTACTATATAATACTATTATTTATATTTATTATATTATTTATATTATTATACTGTTGTCAAGTTAATACAAAATCTGTGAGGCTGTATAATATTTTTTATTATTTGAAAGTAGATCAGGCCAGGCGCGGTGGCTCACGCCTATAATCCTAACACTCTGGGAGCCCGAGGCGGGAGGATCATTTGAGCTCAGGAGTTCAAGACCAGCCTGAGCAAGAACAGGACCCTATCTCTACTAAAAAAAATAGAAAGAAATTAGTGGGACAACTAAAACATATATATATATATATATATAAAATTAGCCGGGCATGGTGGCACATTCCTGTAGTCCCAGCTACTTGGGAGGCTGAGGCAGGAGGATCGCTTGAGCCCAGGAGTGTGAGGTTGCTGTGAGCTAGGCTGACACCACGGCACTCTAGCCCGGGCAGCAGAGTGAGACTCTGTCGCAAAAAGAAAAAAGAGCACCTGGTGTTTCTAACATGTGTAAAGTTTAAAAACCATTGTTCTAGAACAGCCACTAAAATTACACAAGAAAGAAATGTTGCTGAAAACAAGACATGAATTGGAATGATTAAAAAAATGCAATACACCCCAAATGAGGCAAGAAAGTAGAAGGAGAAACCTAGAATAAATGGGATAAGTAGAAAACAGATACCAATATGGGAGAATTAAATGCATATTTCAACCGATACTGGTAATTATATCAAATATAAATATATTAAACACTTCAATTAAAAGGCAGATGTTGTCAGATTGTTAGAAAAGCAAGATCCAACAGTAGGCTGTTGACAAATACAAAATTCAATTATAACGACACAGTTTGAAAGTACAAGGGTAAAAAAACATATACCACATAACTATTAAGTATAAGGAAGGTATGGTTCTATTATTAATAATATCAAAGTAGACTTCAGAATAAATATATTACTGGAGATAAAGAGAATAAGCATTAATAATGAAAGGAAAAAATCATTAGGAAGATCTATCAATCCTAAATATATATGCAACTAAGAATAGAGTTCCAAAATGTATAAAGCAATTGGGTGTGGTGGCACTTTCCTAGCACTTTTGGTGGCTGAGGCAGGAGGATTATGTGAGGCCAGGAGTTCGAGACCAGCCTGAGCAACATAGCAAGACCCTGTCTCTACAAAAAATGATAAAAATTAGCTGAGTGCAGTGATACACACCTGGCATATGCCAGTAGTCCTAGCTACTTAGGGGGCAGGAGGATCACATGAGCCCAGGAGTTGGAGGTTGGAGTGAGCTTTAATCATGCACTCCAGCCTGTGTGATATAGTAAAACCCCATTTTTTAAAAAGATGCATAAAGCAAAAATTGACAGAAATGGACAAATTACAATCATAGTTGAGGAGATCTCAACACTCCCATCTCAGTAATAGGACAAATTGCCAAAAAATCAGCAGAAATATATTTGAGTAACACTGAAAAACAACTTGACCGAATTGATTTTATAAAATATTATACTCAACAACTGCAGAATGCACATTACTTTTAAACCCACATGGGACGTTCATCCTGGCAATTAAATAAGTTTTCGTGTCAAAGAATTAAAATATCTGGTGGTACTTTGTTATGAAAAAAAAATAAAGAGGAAGTAAGTTTAATCTTTTTATTTAATTAAAATAGAATATTTAAATTTTTTTTAAAAAATTTAAAAATAAAATAAAATCTAATACAGTGTGCCTTTTGACCCAATAGTAATACATAAGAAATCAGTAATAAAAAGATACCTGGCACTACACATCTATTTAAACAGCTAAAATTAAAAATAATGGCAATACTAAATGCTGGTAGGTATGTGGAGAAAATAGATCTTTCATACATTGCAATTGGGAATATAAAGTGGTACAGCTACTCTGGCAAATTGTCAGTGTGTTAAAAAAAAATAAACACACATTAGCAAATGACCCAGTAATTGAACTCCTGGGCATTTATTTCAGAGAAAAGAAAACTAACATCCATACAAAACTGTGTACACAGATGTTGATAGCAGGTTTGTTTTTAGTAGCCAAAAAATCGAAACAACTCAAATATCTTTCAGTGGGTAAATTATTAAACAAATTGTGGTACGCCCATATCTCGA